TATAGAAGCTTTACAGTTGCATGTTTTATGTTTAGGTCTATTCCATTTTGAGCTAATTTTTATGTATGGTGTGAGCTATGAATTGAACTACAGCGTTTTGCATATGGATATCCAATTGTTTCAACAACGTTGTTTGGAAATACTATCTTTTCTCTACTGAATTGACTTCGTACCTTTGTCAAAAATCATTTTTCCGTTTATGTGTGTATCTATTTCTCGACTATTCTGTTCAATTGTTCCATTTGTCTACCTTGACATAATACTACATGTTTTGAATCCTGCATATTTATAATAAGTCTTGAAATCAGGTAGTGTTAGTCTTTCAACTTTTTTCTTTTAAAAGTTGTTTTTAAATTTTTTTTTTGCTATTAAAGGTCCTTTGAATTTCCATATACATTTTAGGACTCATTTGTCAATTTCTACAAATATCCTACTGGATTTTTGATTGATATTTCATTGAATCTATAGGTCAATTTCAGAAGAATTGGTATCTTAATATTAAATCTTTAGACTTTCAAACATGGTATAACTTTCCATTTATTTGGCTCTTCTTTAATTTTACTAAACAATATTTTGTGGTCTTCAGTGTACAGGTATTTCACATTTTTTATCCCTAAGTGTTTTCTATTTTTGATGCTATTGTAATAGCTTAAGGTTCCTCTCCTGTAGGGCAATCCACTGCTTCTGGGGGTGTTACCTTGTGGGAACTGGCCAAAAAATTGCTGAAATGCTTGCTACTGCTATTGCTCTGAGTAATAAATAAACTGTCCTTCCTCACTTACCCAGGAGTCTTCTGTATTCTACCAGCACCCATGAAATTTTGGCAGGCTACTTATTAGCTTGCAAGTAAGGTGAAATCTTATATCCTTCACAGTTTTGGGCAAGTACTCTAACCAATGCCCTGTGAATTGTGTTTTTTTCCTGTCTGTCTGGTTGGACTAGGCACTATTACCAGACCTGTGTGTACATAGATAACTGTTACGTCCGATCCTTTCCAGTGATTCTTTTCCTGCCTTAGGGAGTTTCCTTACATGCTTGCTGGTCAGTGCTCACCTGAGTTCCTGAAGGAGCCTCTTCACAGATCCCCCGAGTTCTCTCTCTTCCCTCTGTACTCTGCTCTGCCAACTCTAGTTACCTTGGTCTCCCCTGACTCTCAGCTGTATCTTTTCAACTTGGAAAGTCTTCCGGGCTCAGCTTAGGTCCCCCTTCACTGTGCCATGGACTGGAAATTCTCTTAAAGCAGTATGCTGGAGTAATTGTGGGGCTCATCTGGTTTGCTTTCCATCTCTCAATGATCATTATCCTTCATTATCTAATGTCCGGTGTTTTGAAAACCATTGCTCTCTATATTTTGTCTATTTTTTGATTGTTTCAGGTGGAAGGGAAAATTTCCTCCCTGTTACTCCATCTTGACCAGATGCAGAAGTCCTATGAATTCTTTATGTAGTCATTTTAAAATCCATTTTCTGTTTTATTTTAGTCACATTATATTTGCCTTTTAATTTTGGTCATTTTCTTAGACACATAGTTTTGGATTTTATGTAATTAGATCTATTGATCAATTTTTTAGAAATTACTCTCATTGATTTTAAACTTGGAAAGTTGTTTCTCCAATCCAGATAAATCAGATATTCACTTATTTTTTATATATTTTAAAATTTTGTTTCATATTTAATTCTGTAATTAATTTTAGGGTAACATATAAGGCTTTGTTTTTATCCCCAAATCATCACTTTTACTAACGTAATTTTTTTGTAATTATGTAATCCTTTCTCTCTTTTGCTTCTTACTTGTGATGCTTTCTTTATAGTATTTTATGTTTTTACATATTCTAGGATTTGTTTTATCTCTGTTTTTTTCTTTTGATCTGTACATTTTAGTTATTGTAGTTTTATATTATATTCTAATATCTGAGCAGCCAAGCTTTGCTTCAAGATACTTCTTATTAAAAATATTATTTTCATTTATGAATTTTGAAACTTAGAATTATTTTATCAAGACCTTGCTCTCTGCTTCTTCCCTCCTCAAATTAATTCCAAGAAGATTTTGGTTAGATTAAATAAACACCTTAAGAATATTTGGCCTGTCTTTAGTAAATACAATACATCATTTCATTTTTTAAAAGTTTTCCTTTATATTTCTCATGATAGTGACAAATCAGTTAGATGTTTATGATTCCTTTTAGTCTGAAACCACAGTAGCATTTCACCTCGATGACAGTCTCAGCTTTTGGGTAATTTATCTCACTAGTGTTTAGGGACTTAGAATGGTTCTTTCCATAACTCTCTATCCTGATCCCTCTTGTTCTTTCTCAAATAAGAGCCCTTGCATTCCACATAATCCTGAAATCTCTTTTTTCTTTCTATTCCCTTCCTTCATAGATTCCTCTGTGCATGGAGGACCCTAAAAACTATCATGTAACAAGAATCGCTTTCCAGTGCCCTTGTCAAGTTAGCCTCCCTTTCAGACCTTCCCAAAGTCACACACTATTCTGGAAATGTTGTGCAATTACCCTTCTCTGTTATCTGTTCCATGTCTATTAGGTTAGACCTCTTCAGTGCACTCACATCGGCCAAGCTGCAACAAATCATCCAGAAGAAAAATATTTCATCTATTATCCTCCTATAAATATTAATATTTTAACAGGGAACTCTATCTTAATCCCCCCATCATTCCAAAAATGAGTAACTTCCTATGGACCTTTCCAACAGTGTTGCAGGTAGGCTGAGAAGGTATGTGGGTGCTGAGAATATTTTCTTTACACCAGTCTGGCTTTCTATCAGTCAGGGCCAATGAGGAGACAGAAACTGCTTAATAATTTGAATAGGAAATTTAATAATAAAGAACTATTAACTATGACAGAAGATTGGAGTAATAAGGGATTGGATCTTGTTGGAAGGCATGACTGTGGGTTCAATGAATGGCAGAGGAGTTGCTGTCGTGTTGCCCTATCAGAACTTGTTAAAAACCCTCCCTCTAGAACTTTGTGAAATCAGTGCACTTTAAAGTGCTGGGAAAAGCTATGGATTGCCAGGTGTCCTGCTGGAGGCACTCTGCTCTGAAATGACATAGGAGGTTGCTGGGGGAGGATTCTGCCTGCTGTGTGCTGCTGGCCACTGTGCACTGCAGGAGCCAGGTGCTGGAGAAGCCATGTGCTACAGTCGTCTGGTACCAGAGAACCCATGTCTGCTTTAGGAGTCTGCTCCTGGAAAAGTTCCCACAGAAGGCTGCAGAGAGAAGCACGTAAGAACCAGGAAGAAGGCCCATCTTCTTATAATGTCATTCTAGTGCCCTCTACTGACAAAACTTAACATTTGGCCAGTAGGCAAAGGAAAAATATTTAAAGAATCCAGTTCCATTTTCACAGAGCAGCCAAAAAGGGTGAATTTGTAGCTGAGGGGCAGTAAGCAAATAACTAGAACAGGTTTGCTTCCAAT